CTGCGTTCCAAAATGATACGCACCCCTAGATTTTTTATGTTTTATGAATTTTCCTATGTTATTTTAATCAGATATTTTATCTATGGATTCTTCATAATAAATGACATGTTTAAACAAGAAAATATTCATAAAACATGAAAAAACTAGGGGTGCATATCATTTTGGAACGCAGTGTACTATAAACACTTTTATAAAAGTATTAGGAAATAAATTTCGAAAAACGGAAATTTTTTAATGAATATTTTTATTATTTTGGCTATAACTTTATGGCTAGAAAGGTGGAAACCACTGCTGGAAGAAACACCTCCAGAGTATTTGCTATCCCATGAGCCATAATGTTTAATTATAGTAACATTCCTCAGGATTTATAATTATTAGAGTTATAATAAATTATTAGAAGTAGAATAAATCATGTTGCATTAACAAAAGATACTTGTTATTTCGTAACAAGTAATTGTACAAACCATAGATTTTGTTTTGGTATTTTTCATATTTATCAAACTCTGAAAGTTTAATTTGCACCCATAGAGATGATCATTTTTTCACGTATTGTCTTTCACCATAAATATTTTTGAAAAATTTTTAGCGGAAAAACTGCTAGAAGGTATGGTCTTGTTTTAGAACTTGTAGGAAAGGATTTAAAAGATTATTATTATGAAAGAGATCCACAGGATGGAGAAAGATTGCCCAGATCTAATGAGCCAGTTCTTATTGAAATTATAAAAGGGGCAGCCCGAGCACTCGCACAATTTTATAAATGTGATTATATAACTTTATTTTATTTAAACAAATATTATAAAATTCAGTTGGAGGCCATGGTGATATTGGCTACTATAATTTTCTTGTTTCTCGTGATCAAGATCCAAATGATGTTGTTATTGATGTTAAATTGATTGATTTTGAAATTTCTAAACTTTATGAGGTACAGAAAAGGGTTATTACTATTTTAATAACATTTATCAGGGAAATGAAAGAGAATTATTGAAAAACGGCAAAGAGATGACGTTTTTAGCTTCGGTGAAATGGTTTACGAGATATTCAATGAAAAGTATTTTAAAGGTGCTATTTAAATTATTAATATTCACTGATTTTCCTTTATTCTTCCTATGAGCTTTATTTGTATCACAAATGTTAAAATTACAAAGGATTTTGTTTATTTAGATAGAGTTAGTCTAATATTCAGAATTGCAGATTTATGGAAAGATAAAGGAAAAATTTTTAATTTTGAAGATTTACAAATAATTTTAGGCATAACAGAATATCATGAATATTTGTCAAGCTACTTCGATGCTGATTCAAAATTGGATCGTGTTATAAAGGTAGAAATTATGCTACTTCTAATAATTTACTTCTAATAATTTATTATAACCCTAATAATTATGAATTCTGAGGAATGTTACTATAATTAACCATTATAGCTCATTGGATAGCCCATACTCTGGAGGTGTTTCTTCCAGTAGATGCTTTCCAACTTTCTGGCCATAAAGTTATAGCCAAAATACTAAAAATATTCATTAAAAATTTTCCGTTTTTCGAAATTTTTCCTCATTTTTAGACTTTTATATAAAGTGTTTATAGTATTGTATATTTATAGCTATTTAATTCCTAAGGCTGTACAGTAGGCGGCGTAGTTTATTAAATAGGTGGTGATTTCAGATCAAATGTTTCAATATTATTTATACTTACTGTGCAATCATTTTAATAAGATGATTCCTTTCGAAATAGTCAATCCCATTTAAATATTGAAAAACAACAAGTTCATTTTCATGAGAAGTTGTATCTTTTAAAGCCACACAAGTAAAAGTATTATTTTCGCCAATCAAATGTGCGTGGTAAACCTTTAAAACAATTTGAATAAGAATTTAATTATTTAAATAATTTTAGGCATAAGGGTTCTATGTATATAAGGTATTTTATTAAATTAAAAATGAATGTCTAAGTTTTTGGCAATGTTAAATAACAATATATAAATTTAAAAAATGCCATAAGAATGCATATTATTTTGTGTTAATCAAATTACAATGCAAATTTATTTAAAAAACTTGCTTTGCTATATAAACCAGTCCCAATAAGGCCGTAATCATCTGTCGTATATTTCAATTTGAAATCATTATCATCAAAATCCTTCACAATTAGGGAAATTTTCTCCAATTTTTCCTGGTCAAATTCACATGCATGTTGATTATTATTTGAAGTTGACACACCCTAAAATTAAATTTTTACAGATTTTCGCAAATGTTTAAATAAGAGAAGCTGTTTTTTGTTAAAACCACTATTTATTAATGTAATATTGAAGAATCCATATATTTAACAAAAGTGTAATAACTGATAAAAAGTTTACAATTCAATTTAAACGAAATCACCTTTCTCTTTGTTTAATCCTTCGATATGGTACATTCCTTCTATAGAAGCAAACCCACAAAACGACAATATCACTGTTGAGAGGATTAAAAAGTTTTTTAGTATCATTTTCTCTTTTATCTAAAAATTTAGTTTTTAGAGTATTTTGTTATTTTTAAATGTTAAAGTTTAAGAATCTTCTAGGTTGATTATTTTTTATTCTTATATTTAAGAGAAAATAAATACGTTTTGATTGTTTCCGAGAACTTTTTACGCACCCTGTATATAATATTAATTTAAATAAATAAAAAATTATAATAAAAATATAACTCTTATATTTTATAAGAGTTAGCTTTCATAATCACCCCACTCTACCAGATATTAGGTGTTATTATCAATTTTGTTAAGTTTAAAGAAAGTTATGGCCAAAACAAAACGAGCGCCTCTATTTTAAATTAATTTTTATTTGTAATTTTAATTCTCTAATTAAAAGACAAAAATTAAAAATGAAGGGAAAGTTAAAATGCACTCTAATAATAAACAGCCAACGATGCATTTAAAATAAATTATTATAAGGAAGGCAAGAAGGGAGAAGAAGAGCTGTTTCGAAATTTCGATTTTCGAGGCTTTTTCAACTAATTGAATTTTTGACACTAAAAAGAGTGAATTAATTCTTATTATCCTCAACAGTGATGTTTCTTTAAGAAAACTATTCACAAAACTAATGAGCCTGAAAAAGGACCGGATAAAGATCTCACTCATACTTTTTTACACTTACTTTGGAAAATATAACAGTGAAAATCGAAAATGATCCCTTTGCGCTAATGGCGAATTTTTTGAATTTCTGATGGCTATTCAGCCAAAATCCTTTCTAGTGTCACTAATTAGAAATAATTTTTAGTCGAAAATCGAAAATAATGTCAAAGAGTCGAAGCGATAGAAAAAGACCTGGCCTAGGAAATCGAAATTTCGAATCAGCTCTTCTTCTCCCTTCTTGCCTTCCTTATAATAATTTATTTTAAATGCATCGTTGGCTGTTTATTAGAGGGCATTTTAAATTTCCTTTCATTTTAGATTCTTGTCATTTAATTAATTAATTAAAATTACAACTAAAATATTAATTTAAAATATGTATATATATAATATTTTTCTATAAAATTAATGCTGTATTTTGGAATTATCGAGAATTCGACAATTAGATAGGCCATTAGTTGTTGTTAAAATTACAAATAAAAACTATTTTTACAAGAATTTTCATTTGGTCCTTATTGAGGGCTCATTTTTCTTTCATAATATGACACGGAAGCTTCAGAGCACAAATTAACCCCACCCCCGTCTATTCTTTGGTAAATTTGTAAAAAAATGTCAGTCAGCCAGAAGTTATAAAATTAGTCGAGCTTTCTTGAATGACACCGAAATCAGCCCCAAGTCTTAATTTTGAGCCGAGATACAAACCCCCGAAACTTGAAAACAACGGGAGGATTTCTATTAGGGTTTTACCGGAATCTAAATTTTGACCGGAAAAATTTTGCTAGCAAGTTTTTAAAAATTTGTATTTAAAGTTCACCAAATTCTTCGGTTAACCGAAACAGAACCGTAAATTTGCCGGCGATTAAGTGATATATGTGGATTAGAGATTGGTGTATAAACGGATTCGTCGGATATAAGGTTCTCAATTGTAAGGGGGATTAAATTTTTCCAACTATCCGACAAACCTAATATAGTGAGGTCCGGCTGTAGTTATTCATATATTTTTAATTATAGTTGCGGCGCAAAAGTCACCCGGCGCAAAAGTCGCTCGGCGCAAAAAACACGGAACCGTTTTTACATATCCATTCTAATCTTAATGAGAGGAAACAGAAGAAGGGTAAGGAAAAAGTGCGGACAAAGATTTGCGGACATGGGGTTTATAAACGCATATTACCAGAAATATCCAGAATTCAAGTTTATATATTACATAATAGAGAAGTCTAATTTAACTATATTTAAAAATAATTTCAGGCAATTAGTCAATGATTATATTTCAGTTACCGATTCTTTTCCCGTTTATTTTGGTATTGATAAATTTGCTTCGAGGTAAGTATTTTTTGTTATTAATTTTAATGCTTTAAAAATTATTAAATAATTTTTAATAGACATTATGGGATTTGTTTAGGGTCGCGCGAGGTCGAGGTTTTTCTAAAAAACAGCCGATGATCACTGAGGCTGAAAAGCTGAGATCGAGACCGAGAGGCAAATTTGGGACGAGGTTCAAGGTCGAGGTCGCGCAATCTTAATTTGTTTTGGCGAAGCCCTGACCACTGGTGCTTGCCTGAATGATTTTCCCTCGACTTAACTAAATGCTAAGCCGTTCCGCTAGGGAATTGTGGCTGATTGGATAGGACGGACGGCGGAGACAACTAACAAGGAGTAATTATAAAATGGATTATTAAAATTAGCTAATCCAGAATTATTAAAAATTATTCGAACATTTAAACATAATAATTTTGTCACATTTAAATATTAAATAAAGGATCGTTTGCTGGTTGTTTTCAAAGCACTCAAAGTCATGGAACTCAAGCATTTGGTTAGCTATCTCAATTTCTGTACTTCCAAATAATTTCTTTTATGAATTTAACTTTTAAGAAATAGCTACAACCTCTCATGAAACTCATCCTAGGTGTAACTGTCAAGAAAATACGATTGAGGAATTAAACGGAGCAATGACAATTAATGATGTTGAAGTAAGATTTGAATATGGAGGTGACAATATTGGTCAAGGGAATTTTGGTCTGGTGAGATATTTTTGTTTTAATTTTCATCTAATAATCTCTTAAATTCAAGGTTATACATGCTTTTGATTATGATAATAATAAATGTTTTGCTCTAAAAATATCTGAAATTGATGAAAGAACTGAACATGCAGTAAGAAGAGAATGGGAAGTTTTAAATTATTTTAATACATTGGAAGAACAACAAGGATTTGCAGCAAGAAATCACATTATTAAAATGCATAGAATGTAGGTATAAAAAATTTGGTATAAACGAGGTGAAAAAACTAGCCTCATTTTGTAAAGTTTTATGTGTCTCCGTTTGAATTTTGTTTATTTTAGTATTGCAGATTACTACAACTCTTTTTTAAGGAAGCATGAAGATAACCAGATGTATTTTCTCTTAGAACTTGGAGGAAAATCGTTGGGAGAGTACTATCGTCAAAAAGTTTCTGAAAGGCATGGAAGAAACGCTAGAGTAGAAAGGCAGTTTCTAAAGAATATTCTTAAAGGAGCGGCTCAAGCACTACTACAATTTCATCAACGTGAGTAAATGACTAATTAGACTAAAAAAAGTATTAATCTAGATGGAGGAATTCATTTGGATGTTAAAGAAGATAATTTCATCATAGCTCTTGATGAAAATCAATCTGAACCAGATGTTGACTTTGTATCAACTGAAACGATTCCTGTTAAAATGATTGATTTTAATATTTCTGTTATTGCAGAAATAGGACATGTTGCGCATACTGAACATATGGCCGATGCAATAAAAGCTCCGGAGCTTCTAGCTGATCGTCGCAATGTAATTTAAATTTTATAAATTTTAAAGTCAAAAATTGGTTAGTATATGGTCTTATATATTTAAATATATCAAGGCCGACTAGTAATTCGTTACTTATCAAGCTTCTTTGTGAAATGACGAACGTACCGGAAATCGCAACTGTCAGAAATGGCTCTAAAGATAAGAAACAATCGATGTGTCACTAAGCCCAAAAGACATTTGGACCGAGTTTTGTTAAGACATAGTTTCATCTTCACCAAGTGCAAAGAAATTTAAATAAATGTAGCATTTTCAAGAAATTAAAAGATATTGGTTTTTAGTATATAATCTATTATATTATTCAGACTTGGTGAGGTCATCTTTATTATTTTATCTCTTAATCTCAATCCAGCTATAGTTCATACACCTTCAATTTTACCAAATCGTTAATTAAAATTATCAAATTTTTTACTTAAATTATTTTTAGCTCACCGAGAAAGCTGACGTTTGGTCGTTTGGCTTGATGGCTCTCGGTCTCTTCAATAATTCTTTTAAAAATTATCGTAACTTTGATTTTTAATATATCAAAAATTTTTTTAAAACAATCGTTATAGTAAAGAAATCCTATCATGAAATAATCGGATTGGTAAATCAGTACAAAAACAATAGACATTTTAATGGAACTTTAGATAAAATTATAAAGGTAAAATAATTATTTGTCATAAAATTACTTATAAGCAACCTTTAAAACAATTTATGCCCCTCTTAAATAAATTTCTTTAGCGTAGGAATTGTAAATTTAAAAAACTTAACAATTGTGCTCTTAGTAGTGCGCACGCTTAAATCTTTTATTTTTAAAATAAAGATATTTTAAACAATGAGTTTAGGAGCAGTAATATGTAGTTTACTATTAAATCAGGGAAAACGCATTGTTCCTAAAATGCTTCTCCTTTGCACGACATTTGAATTCCTATTTTTTTCACATTTACATAGATTGCTTTAACAAAAAAGGGAAAAAATTGTAGTAAATTTATCTAGATAAAAATAAAATTCCAGAAATAGACATTTTAATGGAACTTTAGATAAAATTATAAAGGTAAAATATTTATTTGGGTACTCTGCGTTTATATACCCCCACGTCCGCAAATGTTTGTCCGCACTTTTTTTTTACTTGACCATTTTAATCAAAATGAAAGGAGTAAAGAAGGAGAAGACAAAGAAAATGGGGGTTTATTGATGCTTGACCATTTATCATCCTTCTGAGAGGAGAAAGAAGGAGAAGGAAAAGGAAAAAAGTGCGGACAAACATTTGCGGACGTGGGGGTATATAAACGCAGAGTACCTTTATTTGTTATGAAATTACTTATAAGCAAACTTTAGAACAATTTATGCCCCTCTTAAATAAATGTCTAGCGTAGAAATTGTAAATTTAAAAAATTTAAACAAGTGTCCGCTTTGAATTGCGCACACTTAAATTCTTTATTTCTAAAATAAAATATTTTAAAAAATGAGTTTAGTAGCAGTTATAGTTTACTAGGAAATCAGGGTAGAGCGATTTGTTCTTAAAATGCCTCTTCTTTGCATGATAATTGAATTTCTATTTTTTCCCATTTATTTTTCCCATTTTTCTGCGACGCGGGCGAAAATTTTGAGAAAACTCGGGTCGGGTTTTAGAAAATTTCTCGGATCGGGTTTCGGGTATCGGGTCGAAAAAAAGGCCGGGTTTCGGGTTTCGGGTAACCCGTGACATCCCTGATAGTTACTAAGTTAAAAATAACATAAAGATAATATTTTAGATTGTTCAAACAATAACCGATTGCTACACAACATTTTAAATAATTTGTTTTTAATTCTTGAGTGTTTCTTTAACGTTTTGTAAATTTGATAAAGAAGAATCATTAATTGATCGGTATTTGATTCTTGAAGGAATATTTAATTTAGTTGTGTAGCAGTAATTGACATAAATAAATATCAAATACAGTTGAACCAATTTATGACAGAGAATTTAAATTTGCAAAACTAGAGGTTCCATGAATTTTTAAGAGCATCCTAAACTTGTATCCGATTGAGCTATGCAATATTACGCTTAGAATTTTCCACAAGATTTTCTGGACATCGCGTACTCCGTTAATTTAGTTAATCTCCTTTGGCTGGGTTAAACTGTATTTAAAATAAGATAAAAAATATCTATTCAGAATCGTTATCTAATAATAAAAAATAATTTAAAAATGTAGTAGTTAAATAAATTAGAAAAAGAAAAGTGTTGGTAATATTCTACAAATTGTAAAATAGAATAAGAATGTTAAAAGCTTATAGTCCCAGAAACATGGTAAAGAACATTTTTTGAAAACCCGTTCAATAGAAATATGGATTTTGATTAATAAAGTTCAGTAAAGTTTCCTGTTAATTTGCTAATTTGTTTCTATAATACCGCCCAGTGGCTTTTCATTTACCAATATTACTTGTGAGATACCAAAAATTTCTTTTAAAATATTTTAAAAATGAAAAATAAAAAGAAATATTGATAGACTAATGGGCGGGTAATTTTCTAAAGAAATATGAGTGTCGGGTAACGGAGTTTTAACAATTTTCCGGTGGGGTTCAGAACGGTGATATCCTTTAAAAATAATATAGACAAGGTTGGGTGCGCTATAGAGCTCTGCATAAATTAATGATCCTTTAAATGAATGGGATCCAAATGAAAAATTCTTATAATTTCTACCAGATCGCATTTAATTTAACAGCCAAAACAAAAAAAATTTCTAGATCGAGGTGGAGGGCTGTCATCACGATGAGGAGAGTTGATATATCCACGATGAGAGGGAGGGCTGTCATCACGATGTAAAGTATTCCCATGCACAGCATGAGGAGAGATGTTATGATGTCCATGCTGTGAAGGCGGATGCCCATATCCAACATGCTGATGCACAAATTGATGAGCAATAGTGTTTCCTTTATATTGGAAATCTTCAATCTCATCATTCAAAAAATCAACAATTTCTTGCATATTTGGACGAATGTGATCATATTGTATGCACGCCTATAAATAATTAATTTAAATGTGTTAGCAGATTCACCTAGTAGCATTTAAATAGCTTAGGCGAGGCGCACGAACATAAGGATAAAAGAAAAACATTAGTATGCATTGGAAGCTCAGTGGTAGAACAACTTTGCATATGTTGTGAGCAATAGCGCCTAGGAATAACTACGAGGAGGTTGAAATCCTGCTCGGTGGTTAAAATTTGCTAAGCTCTTACTAATGCACGATATTTTGTTTTATTTTTTAAATTAATGAAGTAAAATTTTACTTTTATAACACGATCCAATTTTGTGTTATGATTGTCGTTTGATAAATATTCATTTATTTCAGGTATATCTTAAAAATAATTTTTGAATTACCATCTAGTTTACTTTATGCTTATTAAGTCTGAAATTATTATCACAGCATGATAAATTCAGATAAAATGTTTTTGATAGCTTTTTGAGATATTAACGGAAAACATGAGGTATTTTTTGAAAATTACAACGTTAAAATTAGTGAATATTTTTAATATAAAATATCACGTTTAATTTCTCCTAACATTACGCTATTTTGAATAGTCTTTATATCATATTGTTCATTGAATAGGCTATAGACCATAACTCCAAAAGTAATAATGTCATATTTCTGAATTAGTTCTACATAATCCAGTTTATCCTGAATGAAATTATCTAAAACTTTAAAAACTACAAGCTACCCCATAAAGAGTAGAAACGTTAAAATCAATCAGTTTAACATCAATAACATCAGAATTTGGATCGTGATCAGTAGAAACAACAAAGTTTTCGTATTTAATATCATCATGACCTCCATCTAAATAATTTATTTACTAGGATAATGAAGAATTATAATCACATTTATGAAATTGTGCAAGTGCTCTGGCTGCGCCTCTTACAATTTTAATAAGAAGTTCCTCGTTGGATCTTGGCACTCCTATGCCCCCATCTTCTAGATTTCTTTCATAATAATAATCTTTTAAATTCTTTCCTCCAAGTTCTAATACTAAAAAATACATTCTATCATCTTCATCTTTCTCACTAAAAATTTTAAAGTTTATTAAAGGTGAAAAATGGAATTGAAAAGATAAAAAATCAACTCTAAAGTGCCAAAATGTCTTCTCAATCAGAGCTGCACGAAAATTTTCGTTTCGTTTCGTTTTTCGTTATTTTCGTTGATTTTTTATGATTTTCGTTTCGTTTCGTTTTCGTTTGAAAATTTTTTTACTTTTTTTTTCGTTTCGTCTTTCGTTGAAAAAATATTTTCTTTCGTTTTCGTTTCGTAAAATGCCATTTTTGGACGAAAATTGACGAAAATATTTTTGATATTTTAGACATTTTTTTGCTTTTCTATAGTATTTTTAAGCCAAAATTCTTAAAATTTTTGCCTGCGGCGCTGAAAATGGAAGAAATTTGGCTGTTTAGCCCTCTGAAATTCTCAAAATTTTCGCCTGCGGCGCTGAAAAAGAATAAACTTGTAAGTTTTAGCCTCCTCTGATATCACTTAAATCCCCTTTGATTTTTTTATATAGTGAATAAACATGTAGAATAAATGAATATAGTGATTAGGTCTAATTGTAAGATGTATGTGTCCCCAAAATTAGAACAATTAGAAATTTTTTAGGTTCTATGTCAAATTTTTAAGTCATCTCTAGTAATGGAAATTAGAGATCGCACCAAACAAATATGTATTTGATGTTGGAAAATTAAATATTTGATCGAATTTTATTTGATTTTATTTGATCAAATATTTG